ATTTAGTCATTAGAATTTATTGTTCTTAGTTTTTAAGATTTTCTTTATAATTTTAGTACATTATTGTGGAACGAACAAGATTGTCTTACAAGACATGCAATCTGCATTGATCAGAGGTTCTTATTACTCTCTTCTACATTCATTTTCTCTAGTAGTTTCATTTATTATAGTTACTCCCTCCGTTCACTTTTAATTGTCACTTATTCCTAAAATAGAATTTGATTCTTACTTGTCTTTTTTGACATATCAAGAAAAGACAATTATTTATTTCTATTTTTTACCATCAGTATTAAGTACTTATTCTCCAAGACCTAATACTAAACATCATTTAATAGGGATATTGTGATAAAATACCTATATCAATAATTGTTTTCTTAATGGATGTGGCAAGTCAAACAATGACAAGTAAAAATGAACGGAGAGAATACTCCCTCCGTCCCATATTATAAGTCACCTTTTCCATTTGCACTTGCATTAAGAAATAAGGTAATTTTACCCTTATGCCCTTATTTAATGTTTGCTTATGACAACTTTGTAATAAATGATGAAATGTTAGATTTCAAAAATATAAATGCATTTGGATGACTATTTAAATTTCACTTTTTGGAGCCAAATTTTTTCATCAATTGAAACAAAATTTTTTAAAAATCAAGTTTTTCCCAGCTCAATTTTACTATATATTTTGTGTAAAATATTTTTTTATTTTTTTATATATAAATTCTTAAAGCAAACATGACAACATCACAAAATATTCAAATTCCATTACTTCAAATTGATCTAAATTTTCCTGCTGAATCTGATGTTATTGATAATGAAATTAGACGACAAATGAATTTTAGTTCTAGTTCGACAAATCATTTTTTTTATTTAAATTGTGCATAACTCCTTTAATTGGATCTTGATTTTTCTCAATTTGGCCTTCACATGTTTTGGTTGAGTCTTCTATTTTTACATCCTTTGAACTTTTTGAAATGTCATCTTCCTTGATAAAATTTGTTGAAGCTTCAACTTTCAAGATTATTTTTGAATTTTTTTTCATCTTTTATTTTTAATTTGTTTGTTGATATTTTTTTTCAAAATCAGATTTTATAGAATAAGTAGTGAATAAAGAAAGTAGTTAATTAATGAATGAGGTACTCTCCCAATGAAATTAATTACTTGTAGATTTTCTAGGTTAGTCAAAGTAAATACATTTCAAAATTAATTAATTAATCAATCAATGGTATAATGGGCAAAATATGGTAATTTATGCATAAATTTTATAAAATGACATAGATTGTGGTTCAACTATTTTTTGAAAGGGGTGACTTATAATATGGGATGGAGGGAGTATTATTTATCGGTAGTTATGAGTAGCTAAACTCATAACTAAAGTTATGAAACTTAGAGTAGGGATGATGATCATGGATTATTTACAATAAATATCTTTTCATGAAGGAGTGGTCATTGTGTATTATGTTCCTTTCACAATTAATGTTTTCTTTAATGGTTGACAATATTAAAGAACTTGTTTGCATTCTGATTTGTTTGATCAAAGAAGTTAAGATTTAGAAAAATGATCACTAATAGTGATTAGATGCTACCAACCACCATCTAATAACTTGGACTCAAGTGAGGATAATTTACTTGAGATTTTGATGAATGGAAAAATTAATTTGACAATCAAGTGCTGAGAAAGGACTTAGAGTAATATTCTCTTAATTGAGTCAAGAGGTTTTACGAGACATAAATTCGCTAGTTTTGCATATTGAATATACTTGAATGAATTGATAGTATAGTATTAATTGAGTTTCGATATCAAAAAACAGTAAACCTAGTTCGTCTTTCTTATTGATAAAATCCAAGAAATTAAAAATAGTTAGTAGTTTCTCATAAAATCCCTCAATTTTCCAATAATAGTTATTGATTTAAATCTCAACATCAAATTAATTATAAAAGAACTGTAATACGCTCTTTGTGAAATTCGACCTCAACCTAGTTGGATTACTGTATTTTATCATTAACTGCTTTAATTCCATAAAAAAACGAGATGTAGATTAGGTAGGTGCTATCTAAACAGACGAGACATTGAATTTGAATGTTGGTACACATGAAATATTTCTAATAAGTTCATCTCCTTTTGAGCAATTGACTAATTCCCCTTAGTGATATCTTAGTAGAATTTCCTATTTGTGTTTATACTAATCCAGCATTATCTACTTTTATTTGTCAAATTTCATTATCAATGGTGTGATGGATTGCTCATATATTAATGATCCATTTATAAAATGTATTTATTAGTATATAAAGCATTACCTGTCATGTTAGTACTTAGTACTAGCTAGCTTCTTCATGTGTTGTATGATTCAACATTTATAAAATTTGATTATATTGATCAGGTCATGTTAAGAATTATTGCCTTGCTGAAGTGGAACATGATAGTCTGATTGAGATATGTTACTAATTAAACCTAATTGATATTCTATAATTTTATAACATTTTTTCATAGTATGACCCTTCATGAGACAGAACTCTTATTGCATCAATTTAAAATAATCATCTCTAACTTGTAGTCGTTAGACAATAGTCACAGAACTGAGTAGAAATTTTCTTTCACGGTAAGGTTTCATTTAGGGAAAAACGCTTCTTATATTAAGATTTTTTTACTAAACTTTTAATTAAGGAAAAAGTAGTCTTATTCACCATACCACATCTGTTGGTGGTGGTAAAAAAATTGTTTTGCTTACGCACCCCACCTTTAGCAATAAATAGGGTAGTTGGATCTACATTATTTTTCAATACTCTCTTCAATTCAAAAAACTGGTCCCCTAAATTTTCAATGGAGCTCTTTAATATAAACCATCTTCTTTTTTTTTTTTTATAGGGGTGGTTTTGTCCACCTAGCCACTGATGTAAGGACTTTTGGCTATATTGTTCCTTAATTTGATTTCATTTTCTAGCATATGATAGAAAACTTTCAAATCCATTGTGATCCTTCTCCTTCTTTTCCTCATCAAACAAATATGATCAAAATCAACTTCAATAGTTAATGTACTTTTTACCGTAAATTAAGAAATTATAAATAAAAAGATAATTTTTCAAATTCATCTCTTAAATATTTTTTTTGAGAATTTTATAAATAAATGTAAATATTTTCCAAAAAAATTAATTACAAAGGGTAATATAGAAATTAATTGATATTTTTTTAAAAATTTAATAAGATAGACAATTAATATGAAATAATTATTTTTAGTAAAATGATCAACTAATATGAGTTAGAAGGAATATAATAACACAATTGAGCTTTTTCATGATTCATGTACCACGATATTTGTAGCCGTTGCCTTGTTTCGTGTCTCAGAGAATTTTTTCTTGATTTTCGTCCCCTTTTCCTTTTCATTTGCAACGCATATGGGTCATTTTGACATTAAGTGAACTTGTTACTCCTTCTGTCCCTTTTTACTTGTCTAAATTTAATTATTATTTTTTATTTGTCATTTTTTGATAATAAAAAAAATAATATTTTTACCTATTATATTCATAATTTATTTAAAGAGTTAATATTTTTGAAAAATATAAGAATCTCTTTAATGAGTAAATTAATTTTGAAATTCTATCAATTAATAGAAATAAAATATTAAATTTATTAGATTAATTATTATATTATTAATAGGTGTGTCAAGTAAAAAATAACAAATAAATAGGAACTAAGGGAGTATATGAATTCATATGAGTACAATAATTTCTCCCTCAAATTCAATATAAATGATTTGTCAGGTGTGACGCACCAAAATATTTAAAATCATTAATTTAAAGATAATTTATTACTAATGTTATTCATTTTTAAATTTTTATTTGAACTTTTCTTAAAGGTAAAGATATAATTTGAGATTTAGAAGTAGTTGAAAACTCCATAAAAAAGAAAGATAATTCTTGAAAAAATAATTAATATATTCTTAAACTTTAAAAAATTTCATCCATTTTGAACCATATAGTAATTCATTTTATACTATTGAACTAGAGAGAGTAATTCATTTTTTAATAAGAGTGGTGTTTAGACAACTTTCGCGCATTTTAATTATTTGACTTGGGACGTGATATTTTTCATTAACAAAGAATATACTATCAAGTATAAGTAACTTTGTCTATTAAGATTTTTTTTAAAAAAAAAAAATTGTGGATAAGGAGTAGGAAAATGGGCAGAAAATTAAACAACCTTTCTTAATAACATAAACAATCAATCAACTGAAGTCTGAACAATTAAAATTTCTGACTTAAGTAGATAAATGAAATTAATTACTCTTTATGTCCCAAATTTATGTGATACATTTTATTTTTTGAGAGTCAAACAGTTTAAGTTTGATCGAGAATTTGCGAAATCTTCAATTTTTTTGAAATAAAATTTATATATTTGTAAACTATGCAAAAAATACTATAAGTCACAATAATTGATTAAAAAAATATTTAAAAAATATATAAAAAATTTACGATAAAAATAGATTTATTTGAATCTCAAAATCCAAAATACATCAACATATCCCTTGTTTATTAACCACGGGTGAATATCTTCTGTGAAAATGTTTGTAAAAACTTTTTTTTTAATGAGTATTCTTTTATGTTTTTTAAAAGTGTAAAGCTACATATTTTCCACGTAGAGTCGCTATTTTCATGCTCTATTTATATCAAATGTGAATGCTTAGACTTTTTTACGTAAAAGTGAGTGAATATCTATGAATTATGATAGGATGCTTAATGAAAGTACAAATTAAAAGCTAAATTCATGCTGACCAAGATCCACCGTCCGACTGATACTTCTCACGTTTCTATACATTTAAATTGTTTAAAAAATAAAGTAGCAATCAATGGGGCCTTGTATTTTAAAATGAAAATTTCAACGGTCAATATATAGGAAAACGAAGGGAAGTTTCTGTGACAGAGCAATCTCATCTTCTTTTGTTAGTATTGCTTTTTCAACACAATTAAGTTTTGCCTTTTGGCAATCTCTTGTGAACCAATATAAGGCAAGTCATAGCTAGTTTTTGTCAATTAATGTTGAGTAAGTAGTGTTTACATATATGTTTAAACCAGAGATAAATTATGAAGTTCCCCTGCTTCCTATTGTTGGGGATGGCTTCTGTTTTCCTTATCTTGTGAACTTAACTGTGAAGAAGAAGATCCTTGGACTCTCACAACTAAATATCGATGTCTTGGATGATACTGGAATCTCTCTTCTCCAAGGTGATGGAAAAGTTTGGCATCTCAGAAAGAAGAAAAGAATCATTGCTCATCCTGATGGTTTACCTCTCCTTACTCTGCGCGAAAAGGTATCGAACATATTCTCTCTTTTTAGTTTTCATTCTTAGTTGATATGGTTTGGGCTCACTTGAGCACAGTGGCGGAGGTCAGCAATTTCACAAAAGATGTACAAAAATAGGAGAAAAACTATCCAGAATATGTTATTTAATCACTTCGTTTATCATTAACATTATTTTCCTGTCCAATTGACTATAACATAGCTACTCCGCCCTGCTTGAGCTCATCTCGATCGACCTATGCTTCACCAGCACAAGTATCCAGTTACTCTGCTCACCAATTAAGAATTTGTTGGTGCTTGTGAGATATCTGTGTCTCAACATGTATATTACTTATTCATTTTTTGTCGTATTATTTATGAACTATAATTTGTGGTATATTCACCACCGAATTAATTTAGTTGATGATTTAGCAGTTCCTATGATTTTCACCCTCTTTATTTATTGACTGTTAGGCCACACTTTGAGTGCCGACCACGGAGTTTTATTCTTCTGTGTAAAATGATTTAGAAGCATCAAAGTAACTCAAAGAATGCATATATTATGAACTTAAGAGTGATGTGGTTTGTTAAATATTTGAGTGCAGACACTTTCATGGCGTAATACGTGGAAAGTTTATCGTTCTGAGAGTTCAGACATAAATGATCTGCTCTACACAATTAAAAGATCAAGCACATTTCAAATGAAAATGCAACTTGATGTGTTCTTGGCTAGCAATATCAATGGAGAGATATGTGATTTCCAAGTAAAGGGATCTTTCACCAATCAATCTTTCAAAGTTTATAAAGGGGATACTTTGATTGCTGAGGTACTTAACTAATTATTAAACTTCAAATCCCTGTTTGAGTGTCTATACGAATAAATAATTCTTTCAATTATGCAGGTCAAAGAGAGATTCAAACTTGGAAGTTTCTTCAAAGGAAGAGAAAATTTTGAAGTAAGAGTTTATCCTGGTGTGGATTATGCGTTTATCGTCTCAATATTGATAGTATATAACGAAATATACGGGGAATCATAGATACACTGTGTCAATTGGCAGGTTTCTTGGCCTCTTTTCACTTTAATGTATGTACAAGTGTGTAAAAATTCACATCATATACTTATAAAGGGAGTAATTTAGCCTTTCATGATGTTAATAAATAAATAGGTAGGCTTTTCTTGTTGGGATTCTACTTAATTTGGTTGAACAAGATGAGTTCATCCAATTGTGAGTTCTTCTTTCTTCCTTATCATAAGTTAGGCAGTCATTGATCATCTTCAAGCTCTGGTATACTAAGAGATATTAAGAATTAAGATATCCAGGGCAAGAGAGGAATGGTCTCGATAGAGGACAAGATGCGGGAAACGAGATTGAGATGGTTCAAGCATGTGCAGAGGATATGCACAGTGTGTGAGGGCTGACTATGGATGGTTTCAACAGAAGTACAGGTAGGCCGAAGAAGTAAATGAGAGAGGTGATTAAATATGACATGATGCAACTTCAACTAGCTGATGACATGACCGTACACAAGAGGTCACGGAGAACACATATTAAAGTAGGAAGTTTGATAGTTGAGTGTTGTCTCGCTTATTATTCTTTACTATTAGCTAGCCGTCTTATTAGTTGTATATTCTTGAAGTTTCTTGTCCTTTGAGTTTGGTTATTATTTGTGGGTTTCTTACACTTCGATTATCATTGTATCTTGTTATGACTACTACGGTTTAGAATGATTTGTCAGTTGTCTATAGTATATATTTGTCATGATTGTCTTCATTTCCGTTATTTCTTTTTCTATACTACTTTGTGTTGTTTTATCTTGAGCTGAGAGTCTATAGAAAACAGCCTTTGTACCTTAGAGGTAAGATCTGCATACATTTTACCTTCCCCACGCCCTACTTTGTGGGATTAACACGGAATATGTAGTTCTCACTCTCGTTGCTTCAAGAAGTATTGTAAATTTTCTGGTCCAATTGATTTAGGAATATGGATAAATTCTGTATTCACAACGATATTATTGGAACTAGCAAAATTGCACAACAAAACACAAATACAAATTGAAAATTCAAAAGGTCTAATTGAGATTCATGGCATAAATTTATGAACTTTTTCCAATAATCATATTGTAGATGTTGGCAGCGATAGTTATAACACTCGTCACAACAGCTAGAACAATCATGACTACCGCGATGATCTTGTCTTTTCTTGAAGATAAACCATGGACATCTCTGCCAAATAAGAAACAAAACGTTCAGCATAAAAACAGAAGAAAGAAAATCTTTCAGATTAATTAGTTAAAAAGTTGAGGGGAAGAAAGACAGAGACCTTCGAGCAATTGCACCTGGAAATATGAAGGCAAGACAAACATTTGAAGTTGATCCCATGAACTGGTAAATGTACCATACCGATGGTATAGCGATGGCAACTATATATGATAAGGCTAACAAGATCAGTGTAAGAAACATGAATCTTTTGGTGTCAGTTGCTAGTAAGTCCTTCTTAGGGAATATGAGTTCGTCGATGTTGGCTCTCAGGGAGAAATTTAAGAGAGGAAATACCAGCATTAGGTGAAGTGCATAGCTCAAACGAACGATATCATTTAGAATGGGACTGATTGCTATAGCACCAGAGGACGACATATCAAAATTTACAAGTATATCTGCATTGATTGAATCTCCAAATAGAAGGTAGCCGAAAATTCCAATTGAGAAATAGATGACTGAACAAACTACTAGTGAAATTTTGACAGCACTAGTCATAGCTCCAGGTATCCCCAGCTCAATTTCAATAGGATGGACTGCATTCAAGTTTTTATGCTGCATGTCAGTAAAGTTAACATCAAGGCCACAAAATGATCAAGTATCGAATGTATGTAGCTTTTACCATTGAAGTGAAATGCAAAAGCTGTTACGATGACTGGGATGGCGGTGAAGAGATTAAAGAAGGAAGAAGTACTATTCAACTCCGGTAGCATTCTTGGCCTTGCTATTTCCCCTTTTACGATTGCAATGATTGCCATTACAGAACATATACCAACAAATACAACTGCTAGGATAATTGCTATTGCTGAACTGAGCCATAATGATTCTGCAATCACAAGCCATATATATAAACACAAACTATTAGTGAACATTTTAACTTGTGAAGTAACTCCAACAACAGAGGACAGAATGAACTGACCTACACGCCGGTATAGGACTAGAGGAAGCACAACAAGCAAGACAGTGAGTAGGATCGATAGATAACGAGAATTCCACCAATGAATCCCAAACCATTCTTGAAGGACACCAAGGTGTTCTCCTTTTCCAGAAAAAACGTCTCCTGATCATAGAAATTAACAAAAAAAAAAAAAAAAAAAAATTAGGACTGTTGTCATACATCCAAGTCGTGATACCATGTGAAGATGGATCTTGGGACTAACTAAACCCCAAAAGCTAACTAATAAGGTGAGGGTTGTCCAAGTCCGAGACCAACTGTTCATCCCTTGATCATGTAAGAGGCATTAAAGAATGAAAGTTACCAATAATAATGAGGTACATGATCAAGCAACCAAGAGTAGTGATCATTACACAAATTTGTACTGCCAAAGAACCTATCTTTCCAAAGTTCTCTTTCATCAATCCAGCGTACGTCGTGGACTGACCAGCATAGGTGGCCCTCAACATGAAATTTACCGTTATGTCTACTAACAAAGCTACCAGAACAATCAACACGAATGCGGGAACAACACCTAGGACCTTTAAAGTTGCTGGGATTGACATAATTCCTGCACCAATTATAGTAGTCGACACATTGAACACCGCCCTCCATATCACCCACCGGTTCTCCCTCGTCCGAGAGTTCTGATTCGAAAGCAGTGGGACCTCGGCGCTGGTACCAGTCCTATCTGGATCCATCCCCGGAGATTGAATCGCGAAAACTGCTACAATTTGACAAATAATTAAGCTAGTCTATGGCCGGAGATCAGGCAGGCGGCAAAAGTGACAGTTGAGAGATATTTAAATGTTACAAGGAAACAATAAGGGACAAATGACCTCACTTAATACTGTTAAACTTTATAGTATTATGAGATTGAATGGAATTTCATGGTCTGTACGCCTCCTAAGAGTATGGCTGCTTTTTAAAATTCGTTTAGGCCAATAATCAACAAACAACATGATTCCATATGATGTGACTTAGCTCATATCACTTGCAACCTGTTTGGACGGACTTATTGCTTTTATTTTTGTTATATATTTTGATTTAAAAATATTTTTAAATTTTATCAAAAGTATTTAAAAGCTTTTTTTATTTAAATACCTTCAATAAATCAATTCAAACAACCTAAGAGCCTGTTGAATTGACTTATTTTAAGTGTTTTAAATTTAAAATAAAAGAAAATATATAATTACCTCAAGACCTGTTTTTTAAAAAGACACTTCAACTTTGCGGGGTCCTAATACCCCCTTAAACAATTTTTAAAGTGTTGTAAATACCCCATTTTTCAATTACCCTCAATTGCAAGAAAAAAAGTGCAATCACGCACCAATTATTATCTATTAATTTGATTTTTAATCTTTATTTTTCATTTTTTTTTCTTATTTTATTAACTTCATCTTCTTTTTCTTTTTCTCTTTCTTCATTTTCTTTTCTTTTTCTCTTTCTTCTTCTTTCTTCATTACCCTCCTCTGCTCTTCTTCAATCCTTCTAGCTATCATCACCAATCTACGTAGTCGCCATCTTCATCAATCCTTCGGAGTAGTCTTTATCACGTCACTATAATAATATAATCTCCACCATTAATATCATCAAATTATTGTTAAATCAAAAATAAAATTACTAACAAATTATATATTGAAAAATTAATAATCACCTCCAATCTACCATCTCCTTTTCAAAATTACAACAATTATGCAGCTCCATTACGATGAAGGTAATGGAATTCTATAATACTCTAAAATCGAAGAAATTTCTTTATTTACATGCTAAAGAATTACATAATTTTATTTTTTTAAAAGGAACAATATTATCAAGGAGGTTTACAATTATTATTATTTTGAAAAAAAATAAGGGCAAAAAAAGAAAAAGGAACAAAGAGAAGCAAGAAGACAAGAAAAAAAATGAGTGAAGTAAATGGATCTTCTAAGTTGAAGAAAATAGAAAAGAGGTAGTTGGTTCTTTTGAAATTTGGGGAAGAAGATAACAAAAATAAAGAATTGAGAAAGTACAATAAAATAAATAAAAGAAAAGAAAAAAATATTTCTAATTAAATAAATGCTTAAATAAATATTCATTTACTTTTTGGTTCAGCTCACTCTCTACCAAAGAGTGAACTACACTCTACATGTTACCTAGGCACGTAATGGGACAATAAATTCATTTTAAATAAGAACAACAGGTAATAGGATCCCTATAAAGTTCAAGTGTCTTTTTTAAAAAGAGATTTTACTTTAATGGGGTAATTATGTATTTTCTCTTAAAATAATTTTAAACATTTGGATAGTGTTTTGATAAAATAAAAGGTATATTTAAGCATTTAATTTTAAGTTGAAATAATGAAAATAAGCCAAAAATTGTTAATTAAAAATTAACTCAATTGAAAGGGACTCTTATTCTATCCATTTGATTCATGATATGATAAGAACTTAATTTTATATGCTTATGTGGTTCTCTTTTTAGCTTTTGCACATGCCTTTGGAATCAAAAGACATCTCTAGAACTAGCTATTGTGTTGAATAACAAAGAGCATGATTTATGTAAAATTCATTTTCATTGGGACAGTTCATACACAATTTTCTTCCAGAATTATCCAATACTAGCTAGGTGTCCTATTTCTGACTTGACGGGATTAGGAGATTTTAGTTTCCGTACGTTTCATTAAGCTATTTATCAAGCGTAAAAAATATTGTGTAACGTATTACTCTCTCTGTTTAAAAAAAATGTCCTTATTTCTTTTTAGTCTATTTTTTAAAAAAATGATCTCTTTTTTTTTTGTAATATTTTAATTTCAGTTTTTCACATGGCATGTTTAAGGCCACAAAATTAAAAGACAATTTTATACATTTGACATAACTTTAATTTAAAACCACAAAATTCAAAAGTCTTCTTTACTTTTTTAAACTCCGTGTCAAGTCAAACTAGACCACTCTTTTTGAAACGGAAGGAATACATTTTTGCAAGAAAAAAGAAATTTCAATTATCAATTTACAGTTAATACGTTAGGTTTTCCGTACGTATCAGCTAGCTTACATTTTATTTAAGCCATTTGGCACTTTTACTTCAAACATCTTGTTGTCTTCATTTCTATATGACATTTTTTAGTTGATTCTAGAAAGAATAACATATTTATATATTTAATAACAATTTTATTTGAAAATTTTCATTTTATCCTTAATAAGATAATTTACAAATACATAAATATCTACATATTTTATCCACAAGTTTCAAGTAGAATTTAATTTACACAATCTTACTTGTTTTTTAATGAGGAACTTATGGAAATGATTATAATTTAGGGGTTCATAAGGTCCAATAACTATAATTAAGATAATTACTATTCGTAACTAATTTTTAATTGACTATCCAACTGTATCAAAATGTATTCATCATGTTTGGTGATTGTATTCTAGTATACATATTTTATGTTTAGATAGTTTCTTCGAAGATAAATATAATATTTAATGCAGTGCATTAATTGTGCAGCAGTATCTTTTTAAAAAGGGAATTGCACTACAGAATTTGTTGTATCACTAACTATTATTTGTACGACATTGATACAATTTTTCATTGTTGTTGTTATAGAATTTTTTCACTTGAATACATTGGTACAACATTGATATAAATGCATTCTAATGATGAATACACTAGAAATACTTAAATACATTGATAAAAATATATTATTTTGAACAAAAATACACTCAAATACTTGATATAAGTGTAAAAAAAAATAACTATTAGACTTGAATATATTGATACAAATTTATAACAAGTTGCATGTAACACCCCGAAAGTTTCTAAGCTAAAGTCCGAACTATTCTTTATTTGCATATAAAGTCTTATCGGGTTATTCTTAAATTGCTCATATATGTAAAGGTAAATTCTTTAGTGTGGGAATGATTTTGGATATCAATTAAGGTCACTAAAAACTCCTAGCACAAAGTTGAGTTGAAAGTTTTCTTACCGATTAAGTTTTGATGTAAGATTTTACTTGGGTCAAATTTAAACGATCATATCTCTTAGAATATAAAGAGCTACACGGTCCATAACCTATCAAATTAAAGGTATTTGAATCTACTTTCCAACGCCACCAATTTCACAAAAATACGAGTTTTGAGTAAAAAGTTATGACCATTTTAGTAACCTGATATAGTGCAGTGACGAATTAGCCGACGGGAAAACATTAAAAAGGGTCGTTTTCATCTTTTTACCTCTAAGAAAACCCTAAACGAATCTTTTGACTAATAATTAAAGACCCAAAACAATCAGATTTTCATCTCTAATCCATCACTATCTTCACTCTCAAACCCTAAGGAAAAATCAAAGTAGAAGACTCCATTCAAGATTCTTTCAATCGTTTTCAAGATTCTTCTTCAAGGTAAGTCTTTCTCCAAGAATTCCAGTCTTTCCAACTCAAATTCCTCCATACAATTATGAATCACTAATGAAAATCATAATTATTGGCCATAGAGTTTCAAGAAACTAATTAATGAAATCTCAAGAAAGGTTTTCTTGATTTTTCTCCTTCAAGCTAGGGTTTCAAGGCTTCTAATCAAGTTCTTCTTCAATATTCTTCAAGAACCTTATTCTTCCAGGTATGTAAGGTTATCATAGTGTTGGACTAGTTCGTCCTCATGCCCTACATCTACTTTCAAATGAGTAAAAGAGTAATCTAGGATTCTATCCCTAGATTTGAGTATTCTTGAGATGAGTTGATTTTGAGTTCTTGAGTTTCGAATTCTTTCTGAAATTCTATTCTTAATTAATGAATTGTTATATGTTATGCATTAAGATTCTTGAGTTGATTCGCTCATGTCTATATTTCAGCATGAACCCTATAAACTGAGTATCTTTGCGATGAGTAGTATCGTTGAGTTCTGACTATTGAGTTTCCATATTGCTATTAAGATCCCTGAGTTGAGTCATTCATATCCATAATTTCGCATGAATCCTGCGAATTGAGTTATAAATCTTCGGAAGCTTTTTAAAATCAAGACTTGAGTTTTAAACTGAGTTTTTGAGAAAGTAATTATGAGTATTGAGAAAAAGTTTCTAAAACATGATTAGTATGACAATCGAGTATGCCATCAATGTTTATGCAGTATGACTTCTCGAGTCATCAATGATCATAACACAATATGATTTTGATATATTTTTGAGAAAGAGTTTTCATGTATGAATTGAGTAAGAGTATGAGGGAACTAAATATTCCCAAAGGTATCAGTTTTTACATTGATAAAATATAAACTTTGATTTCTAAACGAGTTATGAGTTCAAAGATAATTCAAGGGCAGTTACTTCTTTTAAGAGGATAGTTTGAGCAATTATCTCAAATCAGAGAAAGTATGTTTTAAAATATTAAGCATGAGTATATATATTATTGGGAGTAGTATTGAGCACTGATATGGGGTTGAGTTCAGACAATTCAAAATCCTCATAAACCATGTATGCCAACATGGATAAAGGGTCATACTTTTTATATGATTACTTATTGCTTTTAAGCATAACTTAGTTGATCCACTTAGTTGAGGTGTTCTATACCACGCCAAGGTATAGAAATATTCTGACAGTGTGGGCGAGACGTTGTATCATCACGTAGCTCATAGTGATGGTTGTCGGTTAGAGAATCTCCTAATAGAGTTAAAGTGTATTTTTATATATCACTTATTATGTTGAGTTCAGAGATGAGAAAGTATTTTGTAAATCTTTAAATGATTTGACTCATTTATTTCTTTACATTCAGCTTGAGTACATTGTTATCTATTGCAATCCTTTCTTTCAGT